TTGATTAAGTTAAATGGATGGGCTAGACATGAACTAGTGAATAAAGTTGCTAATTGAGGATAATTGAAGTTGTGGATTATTTTTGTTTNTTCATAAATTTGCTGAAATTTAGGTCAAATGTATCTGAGCATTTCTCCAAATATACCTAGAATCATGGGGTTTTCTACCTACCAAATTGAATATCTACGAGTCTAGTTTCTAACTCTTTAAACCATTTATCAATACGACTTCGGAGTAGAGAGATATTCGTGTTTTCGCGAGACCGCGCAAGCAGCTCCCAATGGGACCCACTTAGGCGGTGGTTGACCTACTTCAATTTATAAACGATTTGGACGCCTATTTTTGCTCATTTTTCAACTAAAGTTCGTCTCCAAACTTCTCCTAACCCTCCTAAACATATATCACAAGGGTTTGAAGTGATTCCAAAGTGATTACACCATATTTCAACATCAAAACTTAGTTCTAGTGAAGAACAACACCTCTTTGAGGTTGTGTTGTCATTGAGGATTGTTGTGGGCTGTATTTGGATGAAATTCCAAGTTGTTGCTGCTGTATAAGGTGAGTATAACAACCTACTAATTGTGCTTAAGCTTGCTTGTATGTTGGTTAAGTTGTTAGGATGATAAACTATAAGATAATACTTGGACTAGCTTAAGTCACTTCTATGGTGTTGTATTGCTATTAAGGGTTGTTGTAAAATGAATATAACTTGGATTTTGACTTGAAGTTACTGTAGGAGGTATGTATATTGTGTTCTTGCTTGTGCCTAAGGTTATCTTGATATTGATTAAGTTAAATGGATGGGCTAGACCTGAACTAGTGAATAAAGTTGCTAGTTGGGGATAGTTGAAGTTGTGGATTATTTTCGTTGTTATAAATATATGGTATAAGGCTGGAATCATTGATTAATGACTTCATTATCAAGTTAATGATACTTTTATGTTGAAGTAAGAAGTCTATAAGGATTGATAAGGGGTATACGGATTCCAATCGGAGTTTGCCGCTCGTCGTAATGTAGTTGTGACTTGTTGTTGTTATATGGTGTCTTGATATTGATAATTATGTATTGATGGATTGCTCTGGTCATTGTTGTTGGTATATGGTATTGGAGGAGGCTCTTGTTACAAGGGATATGCTGCCCAAATTTATGTAAACGAGATCCTAGCTTAAGTTATAGACTTAGCCTTTGCTCAGCACTGATTTTGAATCTCCTTATACTATGATAGATTGAGTTGACTTGTTTGAAGAGTTGCTTGGAAGGGATTATGGACTCAACGGGTTTAAGGTATGTTAAGACACTTTCTTCTTTCTTTTGGCATGATCTAAAGTGAAATGAATACGCTACTTCATAACGGATCTACTCCTAGCAACTAAGGTTGTCCATGTTGTTCTTTCCTTATAAAATTATTCTAAGCAAGTGTGTATGATCCTTGAATCCTACTATGGTTCATATTGAGGGTATGGATGTCCAGAATGTTCTTAAGTCACTCCAAAAGGTTTA